AAACTGAGCAATTTTTCTAATTCATTTACTGAATAATCATATACATGCAATATCATACAATTAATCGTTCATCACTATCAGATGTAACTAATGTCATTACTCTTTTAAATGTAATTACAAGTTTTGGACGATTGGGAAAAGGCAGTATCGTACGTTATTTGCCACGTTATGACATTTTAATTTCATACCTGTTTTGTGGACCTGGATTAATTATATTTGTATCAATGCATGGAGAAAGAGAAGATGAAGAGTTGAAACAAAAGTGCAGATATGATTACCGATGTTAGTTCAAACTATTCATAGACAATATATTAGTTCAAATGGTTTTAAACAGTGAATCATTGATGATCCTGAGTCCCTATCTTAGAGTATCACAAGTTAACTGATGTGGGCAGTGTAGTTTATTAAACTCCAACTTGAAGGTTTATTAATTTTATACTTGTTACATTCTTTGAAGTTAGCATGTTTTATCCTATTTTGGCTTGTAAATATGTACTGTTTATTTAAGATTTGAAGTCTATTGTGGAAATGAAGTGATGAGGTTAGTAACTGCTATCTGAAGTTTGTGCTGATGATGTCGTTCAGAAGAACGGTGAAAGCTCCACGACCAAACCATCCAGTTCAGAGAACAAAACTCCACCAAAATCATCCACCTGAGCTACAAATCTTCTCCACTGCTTATTAGTGTTATAGTTTGTGTTTTCAGACTTTGTCCCTTGCAACAACAAGTAAATAATATAGCTTTGTTAGCCTTCACTTGGATTATGTAACTTATAGCTTTCTATACAAATTTATGCATGCAACTAAGAACAGTAATGTCTTTTATAATATATGTCTTCTGAAGCAATTTTTACGCTTATGAAATAACACCAATGACTCAAAAAAACTTAAGGTCTAAATTACTGATTGGCTGTAGCCTGACAACCGTTGAAAATGAGAGAGAAACTGACAACTGTTTATTCCTAATATGATATTCCTCCACAATTTGCATTAATGACCCGACTAGGTAGTTAAATCATGTCAGAGGTGAAGTATTTATCCATTAATTGCATTGGATAATAGTTGCGTATTATCTCCAATTGACTGATGTTAGAAACAAGCTCAGTATTTTTAGTATCACATTTACTTCACACGGTCTGAAAGTCCCGGTTTCATTATTTGGTTAGGTTGTCTGTTTTCACTCATATGAAGTTCTGTACTAGAATGAAATGGTTGTGAAGTGCCTTACGGTTTCTAACGGTTATATAACTAACACCAGTCTATGAGGCTTACTACAAACTTTAACAATTCCCAGAAACCGTCTAGTAATCATTTGTTTACAAATATGCCACTGTTTTTGATTGAGATCATGAACCGACTGATGTTTGACCACCGTTTAAAACCTGGAAACATTGGACGGCCGTTTTGTCCTATTCTGGGACTCCTCGGCAGCGCGCATCCACGTTCCCGCTCGTGGGATTCGAATCCAGGGCCTTCAGTTTCGCTCGCGAACATTTAACCTACTGGACCACTGATCTGACTGGCATCTAATGGTGTTAGTGTCTAACATCAACCAATCCATGAAATTGCCCGACCATCTTCCATTGTACTGAGGTAGATACCTGTCTCTACCCGATACGGCTTCTCACTAGAACTCCGATAATTCCCTCACGAGGCTAGTCACTAGCGAGCACATATGTTACTCATCAGTATGGCGGTTGTGGAGATTATTAAGTTTTTGATCGAGATCATGAACCGATGCCAGCTAAGTGGTTCAGTAGGTTAAGCGTTCGCGCGCGAGACTGAAGGCCCTAGGTTCGAATCCCGTGAGCGGGATCGTGGATGCGCATTGTTGAGGAGTCCCACAATAGGACGAAACGGTCGTCCAGTGCTCCCAAGTTTTCAATGATGATCTAACGTCAATCGGTTTATGATCTCAACCAAAAACTTAATAATCTCCACAACCCCTGTACTGATGATGCCACAGTTTATTAATTTTCAGTTATAAATTACATCTCGATGTGTATAATAAAAAAAATAATATTTATTATTATCCGATTATGTTTTCAACGGCTTTATTTCTAAAATCAGTGCTACATAACGAAAACATTAACGATTATTACTGTTGTTATTAGATAAACATGTAAGGAATGGGAAAAAGTATTTCTCTTTCTTTTTCTGACAAAAAACTCGTCAAAAAAGAGAAACAACCCATGAGTATTAGTGTGATAATAATACTAATCCCTTTATTCAGTATTATTAGCTTAATACATTATCAGATTCTCAGCATGCGATATTTGAATAACTCACTTTTATTCTTCATACAAGTAACAATCCATATATACGGTTGACATTAAGTGCCCGGCAAATAAGATTCCCTACCACCCAATATTATTCCATATATACATATATGTATATAATTGAATGTTAAACATAATCCATTTTTATAAGAAATGAATATTATACAATAATGAATCATCTGGTTCGAATCCCGCGAGCGGGATCGTGGATGCGCGCCGCTGAGGAGTCCCAAAATAGGACGAAACGGCCGTCCAGTGCTTCCAGGTTTCCAAAGGTGGTGGTCTAACACCAATCGGCTCATGATCTCAATCAAAAACTTAATAATCTCCACAACCCCCATACTAATAATGAATCATCTGATTGTTTAACAGTATCGGTTACTAATCAGCTCATCTCTTATAACCTGTTCTTCACTTAGTATATGTGATAAATATATTATGGTAGAAGTGTCATACTTTTGTTTTTGTACACGAATTCTAATGTAATTGTATCTGATTGGGTTAGGAGACCAACACGCATAACAATATAAGTGAAGTAAGTTATTTGTATTCCATAGAATAACATTTGTTAATCTTTTGAAAGATTTCAATTGTTTATCTACAACCATATTCATGATCACTTCAAAAGATTCATCCCTTACCCCTACTAGTAGACATTAACAGTCTATGTAATATAATGAAATTTTTCCTCGAGAGTCCAGTTAAAAATCGTGAGGAATAGTGTAGGTTAGCATTTAATGTACAAGAGAATATACAAATCTTAGAAGTAAGTGTCACGTAATTCCAGATTCATTTAACCTCCTTGCGCAATAAATCACACGATAGTCAAAATCATGAGGAAACCAACAGAGATCAGATGGTAGCTTACTCTAAGATAAATTGCATTTGACATAGTTTTTATTCCAGAGTTTTGAGTGGAATCTACCACAGTATTTGTGTCTGTTTCCAAGTTTTAGGTTCAAATTAACAGTGTTATATTCAGAATCATGGACCTATTTAAATTCAATGCGTGTAAAGGATCTAATCATTTGTAAACAATTAGAAGAAACTGAAATCTCTACAAAGATCTTAACAAATATATTTAGGCAAATAAATTAAATATACAAGTTAGCTGAAGAAATATTTTTCACTAATTAGTTACTCATGAAGGCATTCAGAATCGAGCCCGAAACCTTTGGGTCTAATAGCGAGTAGGTTAGCTTTCAAATATGAAATTGGAATCCGATAGTCAATATTTTCAAATGTATTTACAATACTGCTCAACTATCAGTTTCTATCATGGTTATATATATGTATATATCGACGCTGTATATGGTTGAAATATATACAGAGCGAATATGTTTGTAGCTATATTTCCACGTTTTAACAGAATATATGTTAATCCTTTAACCAATAGAGTTCTGTTTAGACTTAAGAATTCTCATAAACACTGCTGCATTTGTGTGTATAAACAGAAAATATTCAAATTTCTGTGAGTTGCTACGCATAATGCTTTAGATCTTTTGGGTCAACACAGTTTCTTTATTTCCTTTAAATTACATCCTGTATATTTAGTCCTCTTAATTATCATCGACAAAAAAAAACAGTTCTTTATACTTTACTCGTTATTCTTTCTATTTCATCTCATTGTCCTTCGTATATGACAATCAGTATGCAAGATGGCCATACTTATTATGATTTGATTGGAATTATTTCGCTGTCTGTTTTTTTTAAGGGATTATGACGATTTGATCGGATATAAAATACATATAAATATGAAAACAGAATTGTTGGCTAATTTTACATTTGAAGTTTATCCTTTTGTTTCGAACAACAAAATAGCTTATTTGTTGAAGCATTTCAATAGCTCACTACTTGTGTTTGAAACATTCTACTGAATATGTTGTCTAGAAAGATAATAAACAATTAGATCATCCAACTTTGAAGAATACAACATCATTATCACCAACATGTGCTATAACAAAAGTATTGGTATTTGAATGTGATATATTCAGTGAAAATGTTGGTCTTAAGTTTCGTGTTAATTGGATTTCATCAACAAAGGTTATTCGTAATGTTCAAGCAACTGGAATTTACTTTGACCTACAACTTGAAATGTTACTTGTGACATAATTGTCCTGCCAGTAACTAACTAACTAACTAACTAACTAACTAACTGACTATCTATCTATATTATACTATGACTATAGATGACAATCAAATTAAATAAACTTCGAAATCTTATCTTCATATAAACTAATGAATTATTCATTTGGTATTGTTTACTTGAATCTTTCTATTGATGTTTAGGACTGAAGTCAATCAGTCTCTTATTGGCATATATGCATACTGTGCGTCTTGCCTTAATTCACAAGTATTATAAGCAAAGATGGATAGTGGCTAGCAGTGAAATCCAGAACATGTGTTTCGTTCTACTTGAGACATGTCATCTGGATTTACTTGCATCTTAGAGTTGATGTTTACTCTGGAACTCGAACCCAGTGTTGTCCACTTCAAATACCATCGTATTATCCACTTAGCTACTAAGTTCTGATAGCCACTTGCTTGTACAATGTGGTGAAGTTTAGATTCACTTGATATTGATTACTTGAATATTCTCATTGATATTTAGGACTACAATTGATCAGCCTTTTATTATTATATTTTTCTCATAGGTTTCAATGAATTAATTTGTCAATATATTTTATTGGTTCTTCTTATCTCATACTTTTATTCTTATAGTGATTAATGAAAAACTATCGGATAAACCAACGACGGAACGTGAATGTAATGGAAAGTGAACAACATAAGTGAATGTTTCTTGTTATATTACAATTTATTTTTATAGGGATGTTTGTTTTATAATAAGATCTATATATATACATACAATTCATAGTGTATAGTGTTTATTTTAGTTAAATCTATTCTAAAATAAACGGCGGCCTATTCAAATTTTCCGCCACTTCTTTTCAACTATACAAATATTATAATTAAGCTACCTAATTCATACTTGTTTAAAATGATGAATTATTAAAGTTGACTATCGGTAGTTATGCGTTATTATAAAACGATTACAATGAATTACGATATTAAATACAGGAAAACTTATTGTTATATCTTGAAAGTTGATTTCTTGATATACCACGTATAACAGAACATTAGAACGTCAAAACCCTTCCAAGTCGCAATAAGAAGATAGAAGACTAATGAAAGGAATATTATTCCAAACAGTGTCAATCACAGTACAAAATTGTCAGGTATTTATAGTTTTTAGTAAGAACGAAATCATCATTACAGTCCTCCAATCCGCATACAGGTGGCTATTAGCATTATCCAATCGGGAAGCCACACGCAGAAATTCTAGAATACTCTTCCGAAAGGTGATTGGATGGAACATCTTCGGTTCCTTCTGAGCCTCTTATAGCTTCCTCGAGTTCACCCGTGGTTCGTCGTCACACCTTCCCCCTTTAAAGTCTGTTGTCTAAGATTTTTTTCTTGGATCCACCTGAAACTTGGTTGTCTCATTCCTCTTGCGGTTCATTACTCTCGAGGGTTGTACAGCTTTTCCCTTGCGTCGGTTACCTCTGCTATGTTTGCGCTTATGATGGCTTTTCTGAGATGAATCCACAAGGAATTGAAATGGGAGCCGGCTTTCTTGGACCATAGTACTGCCGTCTCTTTGTATTTGATTTATGTGTCTTATGCACTTTCCGACACCTTTCCCGACTAGGTACAATACATTTCCGATTCGACGTTCTATGACACCTGGTTCCCACTTCCTATTGCCTTGATACGATCTGACAAGTACCTTTTCACCCACCTGGAAGCTACGAGTTACCGTACGATATTCATTCGTGGGTTTATTTGTCTTTCTGGGCGGCAACATACTGTTAAAGACTGTCCGGATTTTCCTTCCGAACATACGCTCAGCCGACGACTTTCCTTCTGGTACTGCCGGATTAGAGGTAACTCTGTAAGACATTAAGAACTTACTGATCACTTGTTTTGGGATACCCTCATATCCCCCTTTGACCAGAGCTCTTTTTATCGTATCCACGAATCTTTCTGCTTGGCCATTCGACTGAGGATAGTACGGAGGAGATTGTAGATGCGATATGTTATTTTCACTGCAAAAGCGTTTGAAAACGGATGACATAAACTGAGTACGTTTTTCTTGGCGTTCCAGCAGGGCTTCAAATTGTTCAAAGGTAAATGACATATTGGTACGATAACCCCGTCGCCAGATGTTATATCTTGAAAGTTGACTTCCTGATATACCGCGTGTAACAGAACACTCGTGGTCCGTCGTCACACTTATACAGGAGAACACTACAGTTTAGACATATTTACTTCTTTTTTTATCTGTCGTTCGATAAAGTGAGGGACAAATATAAATTTGGATTCAGGTACCTTAGATATAGGGTGGATGGAAAAAAAAGTTTTATTAGATGAACTGATAGAAAACTTCAATGATTGAATCTGGTTGGGTAATACCGATAGTTAGAAGAACTTTAAAAATACGAATCCCATGTGCGGCATCATGGATACACACTGTTGAGGAGTCCTATACTAAGACAAAACGACTGTCCAGTGCTTCCACATTTTCAATGGTAATTTACACTTGATCGACTCATGAATTCAGCTATTAGATAAAATAAAGATGTATGTTTTAGTGGCCAGAGATTTGACTCCAGGTAGATCATTCGCTGCTTGTTATTGAAATATACATGTCGCCATTCCTCATATATAGTCATCGACTTAACTCGCGTTGGTGAATAACGTAATTAATTAGATAAATCAAATACGTGAATGAATATTCGAGTTCGTATATTTCGTAGAATCGTTGATTGGAAAAAGAATCAAAACAAAATGATGCGCAATGGAGTACGTCAGTGATGACTTACAAGTAGCAGATTAGTTCACGGCATCCGAGTTATTGGAAGTGTTTGGTACTTTCTCCAATCTGTCAAACGTCAACTTTCAAACAATAACACTAGATTTACCATTTTTGTTATCATTTCGTCTATCCATAGTATAGAGTAATAAATCAATATTCAAACTTTGTGATAGTATAGAAGGAGCAACAAGTTTGTTCGTTTCACCTTTTGTATAATTATAATCAATATATATTCGGAAGATAATTACAGAACTCATGTCCGTCTACAGGCCTCGATCAGCTTGATAAAATAACGTTATATATTAAGAGTCAATAGATGATTTTAAATTCAAAAGAAGAGACTAAATATGACAATTTAAGTAACTAGAGACATTTATGTTTAGACCAGATATATCTTATATCCAACATAGTTAGGAAGATTCATTTACACTTTGATTGTCTAATGATAATGTTAAAATAATGTACAAACACTACACTGTAGCTTATTAAAGAGTCATTCTTCTGAAATCAACGTCACGAACATCTTAGTAAGTGAATAGATGAAATTTGATCTTTCTGTAATCCAGTCATACTTAAGAAAGCAAGAAGTCAAGATATCAAGTAAAACATGTATAGTATTTCACATTGTTTAATATGACTTATGTGTTAAAGTTTTTTCTGTCATATAACATTATGTCGCTTAATTAAAATTACCATTGCGATGAACAGAACATAGCATACGTTTCTTAGATTTATTCATTGTGAAACTCAGTGAACATTTTAATAGAGAGTTTGATACATTTCGGGAAGTCAATCTAACTGATTGTTGTCGTAGATGTTTTGAAATAAGCTGATTCTTTAAATAAGTTATTCCGTGTTCCAGCAATTTGAGGTTGGTGAAACCTTACTCGGTAAAGCCCATAGGCTTATCGAAATTAGAAAGTTGCTTTTTGAGGCTCACAAACCCATCACATGGACCTGATTTCGTGTGGTAATCGTTGGAACCCCGGGCGTCGTTTCACGGTCAAGTGTGGAATACATGCATACCAGTGACACAAGTATTCATCCAAGTATCCCTTTGCATACACATAAGTATACTTACCTTGTGAGCAAACATACGTTACATGCACACCTGTAGCACAAGCTTTGACTTATGTGTCCCATAGCATACATATATCAACCGATCTGGGAGAGTAAATGGTCATTGCTCCCTTCGAACTTATTTTCTACAACTGACTGTCTCTTGCACATTGAATGCATACCGTCGGTACAAAGACTTATCCATAGCATACACATAAGCATAAGCACTTTCTCCGGGATGGTTGTAGGTCACCTCTCTCGAGTATTCTCTACCATATATTTTCATCAGGTCTTCGACCTTAAGGATTAGACCACTGATTTTATTAGACATTACTTACGCCTGTTATTCCTAGTGAAGAAGCATAGGCCGCCCACCAGCAGTCTCCATCCAACCCCGTTATTAGACATAAAGAACACATTTTTCAGCTTATGTTCCTCGTGCAAATCTATGTGCGTGCCCTTAGCATATACCTACACATACAGCTACACAAGCCGAGACTCATACCATTCATAAGTATACACATCGGGCAACCTGTTACGATTTTTAGAGCCTCGAGGTGTAAACTTCGAGTAGTTCAATTACAGCATAGGAGTAGCAAATTAATTCGATCGCCACTAACCACCTAAATTAGCTAGCAAGATTACCATCAATACCCAGCTGCGCTACTTGAAGCCTTTGAATCGGATTTCGCTACCACTCAAATTCATAAAAAAATTTAACATCGGATCAACTGTGTCGAGCAAAATCTTGATTATTTGGTTTCTTGATTTTCCGAGGGCGATTCTAAGAATACTGATAGTATAGAGCATTCTTAAACACTTTCTCACCTTTTAAAGCATGTTTCAGCTAACTATAAATCCTCTTTAAGAAAGTACATAACACCATTAACACATTTGATTACCAGAAAAAAACAAGACCTTTTTTCCACTTTACTTTTCTCCTTTCTTTTTCCATAGTGATAAGTTAATTTTCGCTTTTATACAGTGACATTTTTTAAATTGTGTTAATATAAGTTCTGGTGATAATAATCTAGTACTTTTTCATTTGTTATCTTAAACTTTAAATGAAAATTTCTTGTTATTTGTTCATATTTAGTAACCTGTTAATAGAGTCATTGTCAAACTAACATGTACAGAGTTTAAATTTGGTAATTAAAGAAGATAATCTTTATGATGTATATTGTTACTATGTAAGATAAATGAGAAACAGTCAACAGATTTTCCTCAAAATTATAAATCACATCTCAATACAAATAGTTTTCGTGGATTTGAGACCATGAAAAATTAATGAAAAGGACTAGAGTGTCCCGCAGAGGAAGCATGGGTTACAGTGGTCATCTAGAATGTAGCTGAATGGTCTAAACTTCTCAGATGATCTGGATTTTCTATTGCACACGCAACAACAAATGCAGGAGACGACGACCAGTATGGCAGCAGTAGGTCTCAATATACACAAGGCGAAAAACAAGATTCTCCCATACAACATAGCATGAAACAGTCGAATCACAATTGACGGAGAAGCTTTGGAGGATGTAAAAACCTTTACATATCTGGCGAGCATCCTTGATGGACACGGTGGATCTGATGCAGATGTGAAAGCGCGGATCGGCAAAACAAGAGTAGCATATTTGGAACTGAAGAACATCGGGAACTCAAAACAACTGTCAACCAACATCTAGGTCACAATTTTCAATACAAATGTCAAGACAGTTCTACCGTATGGAGAGGAAACTTGGAGAATTACGAAAGCCATCATCCAGAAGATACAAGTGTTTATTAACAGTTGTCTTTGCAAAATACTTCGGATCCGTTGGCCGGACACTATTAGCAACAACGTACTGTGGGAAAGAGCAAACCAGATCCCAGTGGAGGAAGAAATCAGGAAGAAGCGCTGGAAGTGGATAGGACACATATTGAGGAAAGCACCTAACCGCATCACAAGATAAGCCCTCACATGGAATCCTTAAGGCCAAAGGAGGAGGAGGGGAAGACCAAAGAACACATCAAACCGAGAAATGGAAATAGATATGAGAAGAATGAACAATAATTGAATAGAACTGTAAAGGAAGTCCCAGGATAGAATAGGTTGGAGAATGCTGGTTGGCTGTGTATGCTCCATTGGGAGTAACAGGCGTAAGTAAGTGACTAACTAGAGTGAGATTATTAATTTTGAGTTTCCATCACCTTTCGATCTAATAATCCAATAATAGTTCAATTGTCATGAGCACTGAAAGTTTAAATTTATATTCCTGATATTAGATTCTGTGTGTTGTTTCTTGACAAAAAAAGCTGGTGAGAACTAGTTTACATTAGTCTATTTTAATAATTTATTTTACCCTGCATAGTCAACCAAACAAACTGACAAAGCAAGTAGGAGTTCAGTAGTGACCCAGGTATATGATTTCAGGTAGATCGTTTGCTTCGTTTTATCGAAATATACATGTCACCAATCCTCGTATATAATCATCGACTTAAATCGCATCAGTGAATAATAGAATTAAATAAATCAAATATGAGAATGGATTCTTGGATACGTATATTTCGTAGAATCGTTGATCGGAAAGAGAAGTAAAACAAAACGACGCACAATGGAGATGCCGAGTGAACCAACTCAATTCAGCCAATTGTGAACCGATATATATAGTCAGACAAAAATAAGTTACGGACAAGTGATGAGTAAGATAAGAAATGTACACAGATATGTTTACATGAAAACAGTCAAGGTTGATAAGCGAATAAGTGACAAGGTAAAAACGTGGCTTGAGAAGAATGAATAGATTGATCTATCCAGAAGCTTGAATAACCTTTGGAGGTTTGACATAGGGTCAGCCACCACAGGAGTCCACCATCAATATTATTGTTGTTCATTCAATGAAGTCCAGGAAAATAAATGTTTATTTACCAGTATTTTCTTTACTTAATTATAAAAAAACCTTTGTAACCTGACTGATCACTCCACATTCTGTTTTTAGTATCATGGATATTTAAAAGAGTTAAGCATTTTAATATCTCGTTATTTATACTACTAATTAAAATAATTGTGTGATGCATCAGATTTATGCTGAAAGATATAAGTAGTAAGTGGCAACATTCTGAAATGAAATGCCAACCAACAGAAGATTGAACTGTAGAGAACAGAAAAGAAATCGGAGATTAATCGAAGTCACAACAAAACTAGAGGAATCATGGAGTATGTAAAGAACAGCGCAAAGATATGCAAATGATGTCTTTAATGTATAATTTTCATATTTTAGTAAGTCATTGTATGATTTTGTATTAAACAACAAGGTGGTTTCCCCCATTTGAGTTTTTGTTCACTACAATAGACCTATTACTATCATCACCAAGATTTTTAATAGATATTCAGTTACTTTACGCATTGTGTTAGTTGTTTTATCAAAGCTGTTTAATATAAAGATGAACTTCATCACAATTTAAATGAGAAAAATACATGAAGTTTTCCAGTTTCTGGTGAGACGTAACAAGTAGAGTTCAACCACGTTGAGAATGTAGTGGCGATCATCCATCATAAGTGTTGCTCAATACTATTTATTTATATGATTACTTCAAAGTGGTAATTTAATGTTACTTGTAATTCAGAGATTTCATTGTATTTTTTTGAACGTTTGCCAGTAGTAGAATCCAACATTCTCTTTTTGTCTTATTCGGAAACTATCAATTAAATGTATCCGCATCGCTGTGTTATTGTTAAAACTGATGCCTAAGCCCTAAGACTAATTGAATATAAACGATAAAAACATAAACAATTGAGAATAAATATAGTACCCATTTAATAAGTAAGTAGCTACATGGACTCAGTAGATCGATGGATGATACTTTTGCGATTAATAATAATTATTATTAAGAAGCACGTACATTTCCAGTTGTCTCTATACAGAGTAATTTCCGGGTTTAACATACGACAGTAATATCAATGGAAATGGGCTCCGATTATTCAAAATATCCATTTTTGACGAGTTCAGTCATATTTCGAAAACCTTATAAAATTAACCAGTCGAGGTATATTTTGTTATATTTTTGTATTCTTTCTGTTATAATCTATGGACAACACAAGAGAACAACATCGTTTTCTAATCAACCTAAAAACCTCAGAGTATTGATTCTGAAGTCCATACTGAAGTTAACGAGGTACTGAAAGATTATCAGCATCGTCCCCATAACATTAATATCAACATAAATACTCATTAAATTCATACTGTATTGTTTGTCTGAATCTTCCCATTGATGTTTAGAACTGCAATTGATCGAGCTCTTATTGGCATATGTGCATCCTGTACAGATTGCCTTGTTATTGTCTTAAGTCACAAGCATTATAAGCAAAGATGGAAGAAGTCTAGTAGTAGAATTCAGGACTTGTGTTTCGTATTACTGTGGGAGTCCTTAACAGTGCGCATCCAAAATCCCGTTCTAACATCACTGAATCCCGGCTGAGTGTTCTAGAGGTTAAGCCTTCGCACACGAGACCAAAGGCCTGGGTCCGAATCCCGTGAACGGGCTCCTAAATACACATTGCTGAGGAGTCCCACAATAGGACGAAACGGTCATCCAGTGCTTCCACGTTTTCAATGGTGGTCTAACATCAATCGGTTCATGATCTCAATGAAAAACATAATAATCTCTAAAACCCCATACTGACAATTATAATATTTATTATACACATTATTCAATAGTTTTATATAAAATGCTAAGAATATCATATAATTAACAAATAGTCATGACTGTCAATTAAGTGATATCAGTCCATTCAATCAGAAGACAGATAATTCACTAGATCTTCTTGTTAATTGAAATTGTGTCTGAATTTCTCTTCCTGATACAAAAGAAAAGAACAATAACGTATTTTTGATTATATCAAAACTGAGTAGACAACTGTGATAAAAAAAAGAGAAAGGAGAATATTTTTTTTAAAAAAAGAGTAATATTTGAACGAAGAATATTCATTTTGATAAATTCACTTCAAGTTCTACAACTCAATATACCTAAATTAATAATAATCCGAAAAATGACCAGATTAAGGGTAAAGTGCATCGTGTAATGCATCACGAGGTAAGCCCTAACTTGGAATCCTGAAGGGAAGTGGAAAAAAGGAAGGCCGAAGAACACATTACGTCGGGAAATAGAATCAGATATGACAAGAATGAATAACAACTGGAAAGGGTTGGAAAGGTTTGCCCAGGACAGGGTTGAATGGAGGATGCTGGTGAGCGACCTATGCTCCTCTTTACGAGGATTAACAGGCGTAAGTAAGTAAGTAAGCAACATCGTGTAAAGTTAAAACATGTGAATTTAGGATTGACAAATAATTCCCATTTAACCATTGAAAACACGAAGTTCAGCAAAGGGATCTATTTTCAACGAATTTATTATCAAGCTGTACAATCATATATATGTATGTCTATATCAAGATTTTTTTGTTAAAGTACTAGTTTCGTGAGGAAATGTGGACAAAGAATAACCAAGATAATGTAATAAAAATATTATAATACTAGATTACGTAACACGAGCAATAATAATAGATTTAGTGAATATAATAAGATGATTAAAATGTCTTTGTTACAATAATTAAAGGTCATAGAGGTGTAAAAATAAATAAGGTTAAAGATGCCACAGGTATTCGGAGTTTGACAACGCTTTAACCAGTAACACCTTCTAATATGAATCATACCCACCAAGTGAAATCAAAAGACAGAAGCGAGGAGGTTCGAAAATATATTTGATAAGCTATCAATATATCGAGGATCGTCTGATCTAATCTGGCTAGCGATTGCAGGGGTTGTTGAGCACGGCATTCCCACTCGTGATCTGGTGCGAATGCATGACCGAGCGCCTTCAGCTAGGTGAGTCCATTAAAACTAATGTGGTCAGCATCCAATGTCGAAACCTTACAGAGCTATTTATTTCGGGGATTCATTTACCGCTACAAGGTGATATGACGAGTATTTATGAATAAAATAATAAGAATATCAGACATAATTAAAGGGAAAAATGTAGTGATAATAATAATAATAATAATAATAATAATAATAATAATAATAATTAAGACCAAGGTAACGATAACGGTAGGGCGTACTTCTTTTTGTACTCATAGTTCTGGCTTGAGCTCATAGGTGGTAAGAGTTTTGGCTATTTTTCGGAGGTGGATACGAAGAAATCTAGGTAGGTTTGAACGAATCGTATATACAACCTTAAAATCAAATTATGGATCTGTATAATGATTACAGTCGATTAGGTGTTCAAGTATAGAACTCCTAACTGGCTACGGCCAAGGTACCTTGCTTCACAAGAGCAGGAGAACTGGGAAATGCACATGAAGGTGACCAGACCAGGATTTCAAACAAAATAGAATGAAATTTTTCATGTTGATATGACTCATATAGAATGTTAACTTGAATCTGCATATATGTTAAGTGAACATTTTAGGATCTATGGTCAGAATAAATTTGGGTCAGATAGGGTGAGCGAACTAACAATGCAGTTACAAATTCGATCAAATTTTTGGTGGAAGACTATATTGTGTAAAAAATTATTAGTAAGACATATCAATTGAATAAAACTAGAAAAGAAGGCCCAGGACAAAGTGGGTTAGCGAATGCTGGTTGGCGGCCTATGCTCTATTGGGAGTAACAGGCGTAAGTAAGTAAGTGGGACGTATTAAGGTGGGATGAATGCATAGTGAATGAATTATGTAATGAGAAGATTAATAATGATGTTTAAGCAAGAGTAATAATTCTAATCATACAAAGATTTGTGAATAAACATAACAGAAACATGTACATTTGACTACGAAAGATCGCACGTACAATAGTTAAATTAGGTCATTCAATAACTAAGAATACTATTGATTAATTGGCCTTGAAGTTGGCCAAAGGAGGATGAGGAGCGGTTGAAGATATTTTTTTTATTTGTATGTATAACTCCGATTTCTTCATCCGGATGGCTACTGCTTTAACTGAAAAGCTTTGGCAAAAGAACACTACTGACCTTATAAATAAGTGAAAAGGACTGGTTTATACTGACACCATAATCAGTTTATACTATATAGACCAATATCGAACTATTCACTTTCTTCATCAAACTTTTCTTCTTTCAAAATATGATGGGAATCTTAAACAAGAAAAAAAACACAACAAACTTTTCGGATACATAAGGTTAACAATAATTAGCGTGTATATTTGTGGATGTTTGTATAAATATTAATTAGATTTGTGATTCCAATCAACCAGTGTTATCAAATCAAGTGTATATTCATTTACTCTTCGTGTTTTTCTTCTTTTTTTTCTTCTTTTTTTCTTTCTTAATAGATAGAGAAAAAAAAGACTAATCTTAAGGAAATAAGCCATAACATTATTGTATAATTTATTTCAATTAACTTATTATCTTGTTTCAATATTGAGAAAAAGGTCACTATTTACTCATGAAATGCTAATTAAAAGAGAAACAAAAAGAAAACCCCAAACGAATTGATTCAATGGCATTGATTTATTCAATTTATTGTTTATTGAAATTAGTTTGAAGTAAGTTTCAAGCCTAAAGTTAGACTGACTTATTGGGTTTTTGTGGAGATGTTTTTTTTGAAATTTCACTAGTTGAGATCATGAGTCAATTGAAGCTAGACCACCATAGAGAACCTGGAAACACTGGATGGCCGTATCATACTATTTTACGACTTCTTAGTAGTGCACATCCACGATCCAGCTCCCCCGCGAGATTCAAACCCAGGGTCTATCAGTCTCGCGCACAAGCGCTTAACTGTTAGACCACTGAGCCGGCCGGTATCCGACGGTATTAATGTCTAACTTCAACCAATCTACGAAGTTGGCCCACCGTCTACTATTGTTTTCAGTGAGTTGATATCTCACAATAGATCTGGTTGAACTCCATTGGTAACGGCTTCTCATTAGAACTCCAGGAAATGCCTCTTGAAGTCAGTCACTAGTGAGCAAATGATTATTATCAGAATGGGTTTTTTTGGAGATTTTAGAAATTTAACTATTTGAATTCATGAGTCAATTGGGTTTTATTAGTTTGAGCTCTTTGGGATTGAAATGAATTATATCAGGAATGAAGATAGATATCTCTGTTAATAATAAGTGCTCACTAGTGACTAGCTTCATGAGGTAATTCTCGGAGTTCCAGTGAGAAGCTGTGATCATTGGAGCTAATCTGTGTCGGGTAGAGACAGGTATCTACCTCAGTACAATGGAAGATGGTCGCTCAATTTTATGGAGTGGTTGATGTTAGACATTAACACTATTGGATATCGGCTCAGTAGTCCAGTGGCCTAAGCGTTCGCGAGAGAGACTGAAGGCCCTGGGTTCGAATCCTGCGAGTGAGATCGTTGATCTGCACTGCTGTGGAGTCCCACAACAGAACGAAACGTCCATCCAGTGCTTCCAGATTTTCACTGGTGGTCTAACATCAATGAGTTCATGATCTCAATCAAAAAATAATAAGCAATGATAGACGTGAGATAAAACAATTTAGTCGGAAAGATTTTCGGACTGGTGTCAAGCTTAAGTACACTGAAAGCCAGAAATCAATTGCATGGTCGTTACGTTTTAGCTTCAATATCTTGAACTGGTGAGTTGTTGTAAGGTATGATGTTATAGCTGTCTAATGTTTCATAGTTTCTAGTGGTTTTTCAGCAGATAGAAGATCATATTGCAAATTCTTTCCACATTAAACTAGTTTTCACTGTCCACTCAAGAGAAATGATTGAAGTTGAAACTAGCAAATAAATTCTTACGATACGCCTTTTAACCTTTCTCTGTTTAACTATAAAGAGTATAATGTTAACATTTTGGTTTATCAGTATAGGTGAATAATTTTAGGGAGTAAAAGTTAGTTCACTTACTCTATTTTCAATATTCATAGTAGTTCAAAGATTAAAAAGACCTATGGACTTATGATTGGTTTCATACATAATTTACTTAGAAAGTTGAAATACTCAACGATGTATTTTTTCCATTTAATTGTGGTTACTTACGCCTGTTACTCCCAATGCAGCGTAAGTCGCCAACCAGCATTGTCCAACCCACTCTGTCCTAACACTTTCTTTCCAGTTCTGTCTAATTACTGTTCATTCTTATCATGTCTGTCTCCATTTCTCGGTGTGATGTGTTCTTAGGTCTTTCTCTTCTCATTTGGCCTTGAAGATTCCGTGTGAGGGGTTGCGTTGTGACACAGTTCGGTGCTTTCCTCAATGTGTATCCCATTCACTTCTAGCACTTCTTCTAGATTTCTTCCTCTGCTAGGATCTGATTTGTTCTCTCCCATAATAGGTTGTTGCTGATAATGTCTAGTCAACGGATTCGAAGTTTAATTGTATTTGTAGTACAGAAGTAATAAATCATTTATTAAAACATATTTTAGAAAATATCCGATTGTATAAAATCTATTTTATATTTTCTTCAATTCCTATTGGTTCATTTACTCAACCAATAGGAATATTTTATAAAAATGAAATGAAATCATAAATTTTACGAAAAAAATTTTTATTTTATCCATAGTTTTATTTATTATTATCATCATCATTAAATCTTATTCTTCATTAATCAAAGTATCTTATAAGTAAGTTCAGATTATATGATTTATTGATTTCATTTTAATTTCAACTGAATACCATCCTTATTAACTAGTAATTGAAATCCTTTCAACAGTTCAATATGATCTGTCTGTGTCTAAGTTTATAAGAATGAACAATATTACCTACTTGAATACAGGATGATCTTACCAAGATCTCATGTTAGTTGCTATCAAGATATATCTAGAATGTTGATGAAACGAATATCTCTCATGATATTCGATATGGTACTACCTAGTTACGTAATATACAGAAGTCACATAAGCATAATTATCTTTCATTGTACAATATGCAATTTTATGTTACCTAATTTTTTGGTACCTTTCTAATTCTATGAATTCATTTATCAGTAACAATTTAATTTAGGTTTAAAGAGAAACTTAATCATGAGTGCCATGTAATAAATAATACCATAACACATATGAAGTAGATTAATGAAAGAATTCAAAGTTCATCAAGTACATAAGGTACAGTCAGGTTATTTCAATATGAAACTTCTATTTCATATGACGTTTATCTATTTTTATCAGTCTCTCTCGCGAACGCTTAAGCCACTGGACTACTGAGCCGGTATCCAATGGTGTTAATGTCTAACATCAACCACTCTGTGAAATTGAGCGACCATCTTCCATTGGAGATTATTAAGTAATCTTTACAACCCCTATACTAACTGTTACTTAATTACTTACGCCTGTTACTCCCAACGAAATATAGGCCGCCGACCAGCATTCTCCAACCCACTCTGTCCTAACACTTCCTTTCCAGTTCTATCCAATTATTATTCATTCTTCTCATGTCTGTCTCCATTTCTCAAACTAATGTGTTTTAGCCTTGAGGATTCCATGTGAGGGCCTGCCTTGTGACGCAGTTAGGTGCTTTCCTTAACGTGTATTCCATTCACTTCCAGCACTTTTTCTTGATTTCTTCCTCTGCTAGAATCTGATTTGTTATCTCCCACAATAGGTTGTTACTGATAGTGTCTGTCCAACGGGTTCGAAGAACGTTGCGTAGACAACTGTTAATAAACACTCGTATCTTTTGGATGATAGTTTTCGTAGTTGTACAAGTTTCCGCCCCATAGAGTAGAACTGTCTTGACATTTGTATTGAGGATTCTGACCTTGGTGTTGATTGACAGTTATGCATATGTAGTAGTAAATGAATAAATTTGTTCTTTACATTTATGATTTTAATTTAAATAATAAATAAACTAATGGACATCAATCTGATTATGTAAAAGATGAATGTCAAAAGACTAAAGAATAATTAAACAATAAAAAGTTTGGGGACAAAGTTGAAAAATGGATTAAAATTAATGAACTTTATTAGACAAACACCCAATCAGAAAGGGGATTTTGTGGATATTATAGTAATTTAATAATTGAATTCATGAGTCAATTAAACCCATACCACCATGGAAAACCTGGAAGCACTGGACAGACCTAAGTGTGTTATTGTCTCACAACAGACCCGGTTGAACTCCACTGGTCGCGGTTTGTCACTAGAACTCCAGGAAATACCTCATGAAGCCAGTTACTAGTGAATATATAATGATTATTATCAGAAAAAGGATTTTGTGCTTCCAGTTCTTCCACGTTTTCCATGGTGTTCTAGCTTCAATTCACTCATAAATTTTACTGTTAAAATATTCATCATCATGGTAGAAAAAGGCTAATCAAACAATCCTTCTCTGCATATAGTTCAGGTAGGAAACGTTTGATAAGGATCATCTCTATTACATGGAGTATGATTAGTATTTTTTATTTGTTGACCATTGTAAATGTATTCATTTTAATACCACTTGTTCATTATACCAATCAAAAGTCAACCACTTCTCTTCCGTGGTCACCCCCAACTGCATCTATGAATATATATTTATTTGAGGTAGCAACTATATATGAAGGACATAGAGAAGAGCCACTACACGGTTTTCCAAACACATTCATAAGAACCGACAGCTGAATGTGAGTACAATTGCCAGATATTTTTTGAATGGTGAACATGAAGTGAATGTAAGTGATGCATTCAAAATAATCAACAGGCATAAAATACCAATCATACTCCGTGTTGTAAAGATGATCGTTAACAAACGTTTCCTACTAGAACTATGTGTAGAAAAGGGTAGTTTGATTAGCATTTCTCTATCATGATGATTGGATATTTGTCTAATAACCTTCATTAATTTTAATCTATTTTCTTCAACCTTGTCCCCAACTTTTTTATTACTTTATTATTCTACCATCTTCTGATCTTAATGAACAATTATTCAAGTTTGGATAATGATGTTGTCAAACTGAAATTATTTTTCATCTCAAAACAACACTTTATATAGTATTGAAGTTGATCAATATGTTACATTTATACTGTTATTTATTCACTGAAGAAGTTTGATCTGGTTAGCGTTATTTTTTTAGCAAGATTGTTTATTTTACGGGGTGGGGTTGCCATCCTCCATGCCAGACTTTGTTCGGCAGTAACTCTAGAAGAGCTACAGGAAGAGTTAACTGAAGAAATCACGCGACCATTTTCCATTTTCTGAGTTAGATACCTGTGTCTATTAGACAAGGATTAGCTCCACTGATCACGGCTTCTCACTAGAACTCTGAGAATTACCTCATGAAGCTATTCACTAGTGAGCATATGGTAATTTTTATTTCATTTACTCCAAAACTATCTTCTATTCATCTGCTTCACTCACACCCATTTCTCTAAACTTATGTGAATTCTTCGAATCTCACTTAATTATTAGATAAACCACTTTCCGGATTCTATACGATTACTATGTCATCTCTTATGTCTCCTATAGTTGTTTTCAAGTGATCTGAAAATTCTGTAAATTATTCAAGCCATCTATACTTATCAAACAACCTATATTATCCGTTTACAAACTCCATATAGTTACTGTTTCAGCCCATATGCATTTTTTGAATTCCTTTCCCAAATGATCTCACTAATTTATTCATTATATATATATGGTTTTGCTGAAATTTTGTTCTCTGAGATGGATGGTTTGATCGTGGAGCTCTCATCATTCTTCTGAACGACGTCATCAGCACAAACTTTAGGTTTTTAATAGTAATCTTCATGATGCGATTTCTTTATATCATCACTGTTCATTACTCCATATTGTATCCTATCTCACTTAACAATGTAGTACAAATGAAATTGTAAACAATTGACAAGAATTTGTACTATTATACTTTAATCATTGTTTAGGCTTTATTCAAACAAAGGAATCTATTGAGCTAAAAAGTTCTAGTTTGTAAAATGTAACTACATTCCCACCGTTTATATCATCAAAGAAGTACCTTTTTGTATGATCAATATAAAACGAATTGATTAACAAATTTCGATAATGCAATGAGAATTATGCGATATATTAGAGCAATACGACGGCTTTTGTACAACACTACAAATGCTGACTTGATGTCAACCTTATGACCAGTCTCAACTAAATATTTGCAATGTAGGATGATGTCTGTTTATTCTGTGATCTTATATAACTATTGGGATTCATTTGTTTCTGCAGGCATTCGAGTATGTGTTCACCCACCCTTAATTGCAGATCACGACTGCTCCTCCCTATCGAAATTTAACAAATATATTTTCCATAGTGGTCTAACTTGAATTGACTCATGATCTCAACTATTGAAATTACTACAATTCCCACAAAACCCCTTCTGATACAAATATATGTATACATGAATAGGATTTATATAATTGACTAAAATATAGCATGGTATCAATAAACACTTAACAGTTAGACATTACCACCGTGGATACCGGCTCAGTGGTCTAGAGGTTAAGCGTTTGCGCGGTGGGACAGAAGGTAAAGGGTTTAAATCCCACGTAGGAGGTTGTGTTTGCGTACTGCTTGTACTTCTCATACTAGGACGAAACGACCTCCCAGTGCTTTCAGGTTTTCCATGGTGGTTTAGGTTTAACTGACAGATGAATTCAAGTATTACATTATTCAGTATCAAATTGAAAAAAACATTACCATTTAACTATAGAGTAACTAAATTCTAATCATCTAACATTGAAATATATTATTTATTTATTAATACTACTCATGAAAATCAGTTATAATTGTAGTTTAATGAATTTTGCACTTATCAGAAGGGGATATTATAGTAATTTTAAAAGTTGAGATCATGAGTCAATTGAAGCTAGACCACCATGGAAAACCTGGAAGCACTGGATGGTCGTTTCATCCTATGGTAGGACTCCTCAGTAGTGACGGTTTCGAAGACGTATTCTCTGTAATTCTGGTGAGAATCCGTGACCATTAGAGTTCAACCGGGTCTGTTGTGAGATAGTAACTCAATGATGACAATGGTGGATGTGTCGCTCATTTTCATGGATTCGTTGAATTTGGAAATTAACACCATTTGATGCCAGCTCAATGGTGTAGATAATAAGCGCTCGTACACAAGACTGACAGCTTTTGAGTTCGAATCTCACGAGGCGGGATCTTGGATGTGCACTGCTGATGAGTTCCATATATTAAGACGAGAAAGCCATCCAGTTTCTTCCAGGTTTTCCATGATGATCTAGCTTCAATTCATTCATGATCTCAACTCCTGAAATTTTACACATAAACATAAATGAAATAAATATTAAAAGTGTTCTATCATATTTTATTTTTGATTAGTTTTAAAGAAAACCCTATGGGAATATAACAGAATTGTTATTTTGTTAAAATAATCTATTTATTTAAGATACTTAAGTTTCATTTATATATATAAGTAGTATATGCTATCAAGATATAAGTGAAGTTGATTAGATTTCCTATTTTTCCCATTATATGTATATCATAATGTATACCTTTAGTTTTATTACATTACATTGATAATGTATAAATAAATAGTTTTCAATGTTAACCTATTCAATCACTTATATTATCGTTTATTTCATTTTCCAAAGGAAAAACAAAGCAAAACATAAACAAACAATAACACTTCTATTCAATTGTTCTATAGATCACT